AGTATTCAAACGTAAGGAAATAACTATTTTTAAAAAACTTGAACATTAAAAAATTTAATTTTAATTAAAGAAATAATAATTTGCAAATTGTATGTAGTTTTATTACCTCTAACTGACACGAGCATCGGTGAAGAGGGGTCTTTCACACTCCTCTTATTCTCCGGATAATGCAGAGGTAGTAAAACCACTTACAATTTGCAAATTATTTTTTTATTGTTCAAGTTTTAAAAAAAGTTATTTTTTACGTTTGAATACTGACTGATAACGCACTTAACGAGAACCACAGGGTTTTTGTTACATGTTGTATATTAATATATAAAAAATGTTTGTGTGACATGTCTGTACCTAAAGGATTCATGTACGTCAAGAAATTAAGGTAACACACTGGGAAAAACCAATAATTCAGTACTTTTAAACTATTGAACTTTCCCCACAAACAATTGTGCAGTTTATGTGAGAATCATCAACCACATGTATTATTCAGGCTCAGAACCATGCTTTATAGAGTTCCTGGGAGAGGTCTATGTTCAACAACGGTCTTGTGAAGCTGTAATGGTGATGATGTTATGGATAAAAATATTCAGAGAATTAAAATAAATATCTTTATTTGTAATAAGTATATTTTTATATTAACACTTAGGTACATGAATGTGTTGAGGATTACAAATAATGACTAAAAAATTAAGTACTTTGATTACATACGTAGGACGGAATGTTAATATAATCACAATAAATGATTACCAAATACTTAAGTACAACAAAGAATATAATATTCAATATAACATTATGTATTTCATCTTATATCTAAACAACATATCGTATTTATTACAATAACTTTTTATGCACCTTTTTGAAGAATAATTTGAACCGCAATGTTTACTGCAGTAGTAAAAATGTTGTTTTTCAAGGCACCAGCGCCTCCTTGGCACAAAATTCTAAATTAATGTAAAATATGTATAACTTATACCCGACATTCCATGTGAATTTGATTTATACATACTTACATTCATATACTTTTTACAGTTTACCTTTAAATATACATTAAAAGTAAGGCCTTTTCTTTTTATACATTACAAATCTATAGGTACTGAACAAAATTTACAACTGCCACCGAACCCATTAGCAAATCGATCCAGCAAATAAAAATGGCACACCGTATAAACTGTTCATTACTTTTCAAAATTTCGGTGAAAAATACTTCAAGCTAACCTAAAGGACTGCCGGTTGTGTTAATGTGATATTTAACTTTTAAATGGCGCTAGGGAGCCGATGCTCCAAAAAAATATTTAAAAAATTTGAAATCTGATATGCGGGCATCTGTAATGAAGAATTACCTAATAGATTTTGCAAGTTTGCCTATAGCTAATCCTTGCGATCCAAAATTTTGAGCACAATATATAAAACACTACATTAAAAAGGCCATTAATGCGTTTAAGAAAAAGTGAACCTAAGCACCATATTCTAGAGCTTTCACTCACATTCCCCATTATTTCATTTTTACTTTAAAATACTGGTACATAAAATTCACATAAAGGAGCTTAAATTATTATTTTCAGGATGTTTTGCGAATAGCCACAGATAACTCATGAGCCAGCATGGAACATGCTTCGATGTGCGATTATTTTATGATGTATCTTGAGAAATGTTAAAACGTCTTTAACAAATATTATCATACTAAAATGTAGGATCTCATTATGACAATCGTGGTTATCGCCTAGTATTAACAGTACAATTGTTGACATTACATCCTAAAACGGTAATATGGTAATCGGTAAAATACATTATTAGTAACCAGTTTTCACATTGAATGTTAGCTTTGGCTTATTAAAAAACATTAAAAATTTAAATATTAATTTAAATACAATTCTTTAAAACATGAAATTTAATAGTTTTGTAAATCTGGAATAAAAAATAATTCTCCCGAGACTAATATTATAATTAAAGTCTAAAATCAACAATTTAATACTTTTTACAAATAAATTACTTGAGAACTTGCTATTCGAATTGCAAGCTACTTGTTAACAAATTTGTGCGTACATACAATGCTGTTATTACTACCTGCTTTAATAAGTTAATGTAAGTTTAAAACGATGAGTTAACACATTGCATGCAATATAAGATTTTGTTAAAAGTTTTGCACTAATATTCTTTTTTAATAATATGTAAAAATAAACATAATATTAATACACTATCGAGAACAAAAAATTAGTAAAGTAGAACGTGTAGATTGAAAAATTGTGTGATAGATATTTAAATAACAATAATAACAATTATGGTCACTTCGATGTAGTACAGAATGGAAACACGAGTGTACTATTAAATGCAAAATATGCAAAAATAGCAAATGATTTTTATTTGTTTCAATTTTAAGACGCGATTAATAAATCAATATGTTTTAATGGAGACTAAATAATCTCCCGCTCAACAGATGTCGCCAGTTAGGATTGAGATGAACTTTTTGTTACACAATGTAATTTAATGAAAAAGTTAGTTTTAAACAAAAGTTTATCTGTATCTAGAATTCTAGAGTATTATACAAAACAATGCCTTAATGGTTTTCTTTTTAATTTTATGCACATTTTAACGCTGTTTTTTTTTAATTTTTCTTGGCTCTAGGAATATCCGTAGTATGGTTAAATCATTTCTAATCTAATTAACATAAAATATAACTAATATTACAGTAATCTGTCAAATATTTCACCTCATTCCAAAGTGGCGCCGCCCTTGTGGCAGAAAAGTTCGTGGACGCCCTCATTATAACTGAAGGCTGCTGCTTGTGCAAGGTAGCAAATATATTGTTTCGGACCACTGTGACGTAATTCGTATAAATGTGATTATTTGTTTTAGAAATAAGCAATGTTGCGAAACGTATAGCCCGAAAAGAAAAATAAAAACCTTCGCCATGTTGCGAATATTCACAAAACTAATTTCAATTACTGGCAGCAGAAGATACTTTTCAGCGTAATTCAATAGTCAGCGTATCAACATGAGTCTGTCAAGTGTCAAAATTTCTTTGAAAACTCCTTTTAAATATCTGTGCTGTAAGTTCATTATAATACTACATAAAACAAAATATAATCACTGTGACCTATTGAAAATAACCATAGGTATTGGATTCTATTTTAACATGTTATTTAACGGAATAATATCTAATTCCTCATAACATAATTTTGTATTATAGTGAACTTTATTAATATTGGCTGTTGAATGAATTTGAACAATTTTTAATGTCTCTTCAAAAAACAGTCCGAGAAGAAAATAACTTAGTAGAGGTACAAAATACTTTAGTGGTCACTTACGGTCAGATTTAATGCAAGTTCGTCGAATAAAAAAACAACAAGTGATAACATACTACTTTTTGCTTCACGATTTTACAAACTACATATAATTCCGTAAATTGTGATTGCAACTTAATTGTGTAAAATAACTAGGTTTATCAAATAACATAAACAATTTGGTATGTAAAAAATAAATAAAAGCCATGCTGATTTTGAAACAGTTTCGAGATTGTTTATAAACCTTACTTTGCTGTTAATAGTTTTTAATAATAAGGGATGTAATTATATTATTAACTACTCATACGTGAAATGAATTCAACCTTATTTTACCTCTAAACGACGTCACAAAGGAGGCTGAATGACACACACACACACACACACGCAAGCACGCGCGTGCGTTCGTGCGTGTCTGTTAAGTGCGAGTTTCGTGGTGAGTGAAAGCCGTTTGTTTGTGTGTTTGTGTGCGCAGATTTCCCCTTGCAAAATATGGCCGACAGTTCTGTATCGGGAAAAGAAAGCCATAGGGCTACTCCACTCCGGTCCGCCGCGCTGGTGGCCCGTGTTGCTCTATGCTTGTTAATATTGCGTAGTTTTGTATTAAAAAAAAAGATTAAGTGATGTCTTTTCTAGTAAACTGTGAAACATCACTTGACATCCTCATGACTGTCTTGACATCGCAGATTTCTATCAAGAAAAGCCTGAATACAATTATTACTAAAATATCTTTGCTTGGTTTCTAATTAAATTGATTCACAGTAACTCTTTCGTTGATCATTACTTTGCTAAGAGGGACTGAATTCTTCAATCTTAGTTTTATTTGGATTAATAATTACTTTGTGCGAGGCAGCTCCGTCAATTTAAGGACTAAACAACATTAATTTAAGCTACGCTACTAAGACAGTTTTTTTCCTTAATATTTTTTTATCGAATTCACGACGACGAGAAACAAAGAATGTTTGGTTTGAATTTGGTAAAATATGTGAATAAAAAACATGATGTGATCTATTTAAAATGTCGCAAAATTTTCAGCCTCCTGTATGACATGGTATTTAGAACTGCTACTTAGAAAATAAAAGGTGTTTAGAATAATCTTATATACCTATAAACATTACATTATATATAAAACAAAAATGTAAAAACGACACCTTAAAGAAATTTACACAGCATATTGCTTTATTATTTTATAATTTTCAGGGTGCTTTAGAAATAGCGAAAGTACAACGTAGGGTAGTAATAATTATAGTGCGCAATATATAACTTAAAATTTTTACATATAAAATACAATATACTTACTAGGCTTTGATTCTTGAATAACGTAGAATCTTATACTGCCTAATGTTTTACTTGTAACGACATACCTTGTAGTATAATTCGTAAATATTTGATATGTATGCATTAACTTTTGGACGGACTTTTAATATCTCTTAATAATATTGATTATTTTGATTAGGTAGCATAAAAAACTTAACAATTCCTGCAGGCGGTTTCGTTTTAAGGTGTCCCTCGATAAATTGACAAGGGCATACATATTTATCGCCATGGCGTCCTGGTACAAAGCTGCTAAGGTGTAACCTGTTTTTGATGGCATATGCTCCCCACCTTCCTGCATATCGTAAAAACAGAAGCGTAGCTCTTTCCTGTGTAAAAACATACCTCATAGTTGTTATATGATATCTTCTTGTATATTTTGAAATAGAATTTGTTAAGCGGAATGTATATTAGTCAATCGAGACCGCGGCGTTTGAGCCAATCGTTGCACGGCGGGCAACAGGCGCGCGTATCTTTAGGTTCTTTATTCCGCAAAATTTCTTCAACATATTGACAAGGACAAAGCGCGAGCGAAAGATGTCGTGGAGCCGCGGGATTTCCGCCTTCCTCGTCAAGAGTCCAGTACAGCCGGCGCCGCAAGAAGTCCTTGCCCCACCGTTGTAGATACCGAAGATACACTTGTTCTGCCATATCCTGCACATTTATGTACCTTGCTTACCCATGAAAGACTACTATAAAATAGATATCGATCACCAAATACAAGTTATCTCAACCATTAGCTGTTAATAAAATTAGTAGGAAATATTGTTACTTATTATTAGAACAATTAAACTCTTGTTATATTAAATAATATTTAATAATAAAGCTTTATTAGTTACAAATAAAAATAAGTTTTATTAAAATAATAACTTTTAGTAATTATGTTATTTATTATCTATGATTAAATGTACCCCAAAAATAAATATAATATAGGTACAGTGTTAAAAATGTACAAAATATTTTGCTAATTTGCCGATGCTAATCTTGGCGACTAAGATGTCAAAGATATTATATAATTCATTAATTACAAAAGCCCTTTCGAAGCCTTTCAAAAGGTCACTACTAAACATTTACCATAGTTGCCACGTTTGGCAGGCGGATTGGCAATCACGGTTTTTATACTTTAAGTTATATAGAGAGTATTGCTGTCTGATCCCTCCCTCTATCTGCTCTTACGATAACCACGGGGTTTTATAGAATTGTGTATTCTCTAAAGCCGCCATTACACATCAGACGAAAAAACTAGTAAATCATTTTATATTATTTATATGTATATAAATTTAACTTCATATACACAGTAAGCTATAAAGGTGAACTCAATGGAGACATTCTCTATCAATCTACTTTAGAGTATTAATGACTAGCAATATTTTAGACAGATAAGAAGATAATTAGTATGTATTTTGGTAGCGGTTACCACTATACAAAGATAATAGGCTAAGAAATTACATTGTTAGTAATGATCTGTTTAATACCATATCCTTTATTCATTCACTAAACACTGAAAAGCATGGGCACAATATAAACATGTATATTGCGATTCAAATAAGAATAGGAACGTCAATGACCTCGAATGACCGCGATCTCTCAACTGTCACTTGAAAAGTACGGCTTACAAGCTTACAGCTTACACAAAATCAATTTTCCACATTTATATTTATTTAACTGAGTCTTAGCATTACCAAATCGATTGAAATCATAATTATTTTTAAAAATAATTTAAAACTGGATTTTTTATATTTTCATGGTTGGCAACATTTCGCCAAAAAGTAAAAATTATTGAACTGTTGATTTCGATTAAAACTTTTTCTTTCATGCTTTTTTTGTATTTATTTGTAAATAAATATTATTTCAAAACTGTCTGTTTAACTCACCCTACCTAGGTAACTACTATAAATTGATAGCTATGACATCACAATATGGCGCCTGGTCGATCCTCTCCTTATTTGAATCACATAGTAAGTCAGAGTGTACACAGTATGTAATAAAATGAGTAAGTAAAATTAGTAGCTAAACTTGCTAAGTACGCCTTTGACAAGAATTTAGCAGGCCGTTTACTAATAGGCAGTACTTTTCTGTATTGGATGCTGATAAATAAAAAAAATTATTACGATCACCTGTTTGACAACTTTTGATTTATTTTTACACTCTGTTATAATTTTACAAATAACGCTTGCAGAATTGCTTTTAAACTTATAGATACCGTCCGATTAGAATCATTTATGTTTATCGATCTTAAGTAAAAATTATACCGATTTACATTAAAATAATTATTGAATACCTTTTACTACCCACTATATATATATATATATATATATATACAACGTGTGTATGGCCACCCCGTTCACCCGATTTGAACCCCCTGGACTTCTTCTATTGGGGTTGTCTTAAAAACAGGGTCTACTCAAAACCCATTGTGACATTGGACGAGCTTCGTCGAAATATCACTCAGGCTGCTGATTACATTAATAGCAGAAGATATGCAAGACAAATAAAACGATCATTTTTAAGGCGATGTCGTGCATGTATTAATGCTGGTGGCAAACAGTTCGAACATTTGCTATAATGTTAATAACTTAATAAATTACACGTGAAACTGTTTGTACCATTTGTTTTGAAATATTAAACATTTTTCAAGAAATAATACTTTTATTACACCGGACCGTCATTTGGCCCCTGTTAAGAAATAATAGGCCCATATTTTTTTATAACTTGTTTTCCTAGAGTATTATACTATTTTGGAATATTGGTTAGTTGCGTCAATTTTTAAAAAAACTTGCCATACTAGTGTTCATACTTTTTTTTTACACCACGATAAGTTAAATTTGGTTAAAAGTAAAAGTCTTCAAAAAATTTAGGGAATAAAATAAGTTTCATTAATTTTCGTGATAAAACAAGAGTTATTCGGGAGTTTTTAAGAATTGTGGTAGATAGCAGTACTATACAGGTTGCCTATAAAAAAAAAAGAAAAAAATATTTAAAAAATTGTGGTCATGGTAGTGAAAAATATCATAAACGGTCTCAATTTCTGAAGAATTTCATTTTTTTTATATAACTTAAAATATAATTGAGATATATTTTTTTTCTTTTTTTACCCGATTAGTCCGGGGCAGGTCTATCCTCCGGTGTTGGCTTATCGTTGAATTTTGGGACACGTTGTATATATATAATTTTTGCGAAATGGACTTAAGTGCATTAACGTACCCAGAAAGAGCCACAGTTTATATTATTTACGATTTTTCTCTACCAATGAAAGTGTTCCAAATTAATATCGGGAATGGATAAAAAATGACAAATCACAATTATTTATAATACAGTATTATGATGTCATAATTGTGGTGGTCAGCTTTTGCTGTCGCACGGATGGGCCGGCTTGAACCGGGGTGGTACACGACCTCACAGGTGGCCAGAGGCCCAGGTCACCCCCCCCCCCCCCTTATCAACATGGTAGTAAAATTAAACGTAAGACTACCCTAGGAGGGTACCAGCACCCCCGGAAAATCTCTCGGCAGAAGGTACGGACCAGTCCATCCTATGGTTGCGCGTAGACGGCGACGGCCAACCATGCGTCTACGGGTGCCTCCATAGGTAATGCCGAAACAGACCGACTCATCGACCATGTCCAAATGGCTACAGATTCCTTGTTACAGCAGATCGCAACCGGAGAAATCTTGATCCTTGGCGATTTTAACGTCCACCACGCCGAATCGCTCGGTTCGCGTTCAACCGATCATGTGAGCACCAGCGCTCTTTCAAAGAAGTATAATTCCGCCTCCAAATTCTTCAAAAGAGTCATTGTCAAGGCAAGATCTGAGCACATAGGCAGAATTGGCGAGAAGCTAGTTCACCTTCCTTCGGGAACCCGTGCATTCTGGTCCCTCGCCAAGGCTGTCCAAGGCAACTTCTGTCTGCCATCTCTTCCATCTCTGCACAGAGAAGACGGCTCACTGGCCCGTGTCGCAAAGAAGAAAGCAGATCTGTTAAGTTCTCTCTTTGCATCCAACTCGACTCTCGATGACAGGGGGAACACACCGCCGACCATCCCGCGTTGTGAGTGCTCCATGCCGGATGTGCGGTTTACACAGCTTTTGTTAAGCAAGGCACTCCTCTCCCTGGACGTCAGCAAGTCGAGTGGTCCTGATGGAGTACCTCCCAATGTGCTGAAGACGTGTGCTCCGGAGTTGGCACCGATTTTAACGTCTTCGCTCCCGCCACAACCTTCTAACCTGTTACAACTGAAAGTATTTCTGGGCAGTTTTAAGCAATTCAGAAATATAACAGTATATTATAATCATTTCTTTATTGCCTGTAAACATAATTTATTATTTTTATTAATTCCTCAAAAGGATCTCTTTTGTTCTTTATAATTTCTCTTCTCCATAAATATTCATATATCAAGTCGGTAAAATTTTCTCTATTATTATAGTTGTCTTTAGAGAAATATCTCTTGACAGAGAGTATAGATAGTAGAATAATGTGACATTAGTCTTACGTCCTTGTCGCACTTACACAAAATTCTGTATGCTATCCAGCTTTCACAGTAATATTGCATATGTTTTTCCATGTTTTACGCATTATAGGTTATAATAGTTTTTATTTATTTTTTCGATAACGGTGCATTACCTTTTAATGTGAGTGGTATTATTATAATCGGGTCCAAATCTCTACCAAATAAACCAACTTACTCCCCCAAATTCCTGCCAAACGATTCTAAATCCAACCCCGAGTCTTTGCTGAACAAAGTCTTAGATTGAGGGCGACTAATTCTAATCCAGTTCAATCCCAGAAGACACAAGTTTACGCGATTACCGTTAAAAAGAACCCCTTTGTCGTATCTCTTCAGTTTCAAGGCACTCCCCTTGCTGCCTCAGCCATCGGAATACTGGGCGTCGACATATTGAGTGACGTGCAGTTTCGTGGTCACTTGGAAGGGAAGACCAAATTGGCTTCTATTTTATTTCATGCCAGCACATCGGTTGTAACTTTACAAAGTGCAAGTTCGGCCTCACATGGAATACTGTTCTTATCTCTGGGCCGGGGTATTCCAGTGCCAACTCCTTCCAATTGACCGCATCCAGCGCAGAGCGGTTCAAATCGTCGACGACCTAGTTCTTTCTAATCGGCTGCGTTCACTGGTGCTGCGTAGGGATGTTGCATCCCTTTGCATTTTCTATCGAATCTACCACGGGGAGTGCTCTGAGGAATTATTCGGATTAATTCCAGCCGCCAAATTTCACGAACGTACATCGCGTCTAATTTTACGATACCATCCTCACCATCTGGATGCTTGACGGTCCACCACTGTGCGTTTTACTAGGAGTTTTCTTTCTCGTACAACTTCAGTGTGGAATTGTTTACCACCGGCGATTTTTTCGGCCCGATACGACTTAGGGACCTTCAAGAAAAGAGCTGACACCTTTCTAAAAGGCCGGCAACGCACCTGCAATTCCCCTGGTATTGCGATTGTTCATGGGCGGCGGTAGTTACTTACCATCAGGTGAGCCGCTCATTTGCCCCCTCTTCTATAAAAAAAATCGACGTCGTTGTGAAAATTAAGAAAACTTAAATGTACCAGCAATAATGGGACAAAGGAACTTTTTGTAATAAATTTTATGTGCTATACAAGTAATACAATTCTAAAATAGGTACGTGAC